CAAGCAACTCTGCGAACAGGTGACTCGGGTATGCAGCCGATCAACGAGGCCCTCACTACAACAGGACATATACATCATTCCAGGACTCCAGGATTGCTCTCACCTCTTGGTGAAAAAACTCCCGAGGCCTCTCTGTCTCCCCTACGAGGATCCATTCCCGGTCATCTGAAGAGGCAACAAGACTATCACCATCCGCTGCCCAAAGAGAGAAGAAACCGTGGCCATCAACCACGTCGAACCTGCACACCTGCAACAGGCTTTCAGGATCACCAAAGTCCGTCTCGCGACCACGACACTAGAGGAGGAGTGTTGTAGTGGTTCCTGATTGGCCATCAATCCAGAACAGCACCTGACCCGTGATTGGCCGACTCCTGCTTCGGAACCGCCCTAACTGGTCAAGTTCATAAGCCACCAGACCTGAGGCAGAGTCATCATTTGCATCTCGCCTGTTGACCTGGCAGCATTTGTACTTGGTTCTTCAGCAATAATAAAAAATAAATATATATTATATATATATATATATATATATATATAATATATATATATATATAATATAATAATATATATATATATATATATATATATATATATATATATATATATATTATATATATATATATATATATATATATTATATATATATATATATATAATATATATATATATATATATATATATATATATTATATATATATATATATATATATATATATGTATATATATTATATATATATATATATATGTATATATATATATTATATATATATATATATATATATATATATATATATATTATATATATATATATATATATATATTATAATATATATATATATATATAATATATATATATATATATATATATATATTATATATATATATATATATTACATATATATATATATATATATATATATATATTATATATATAATTATATATAATATATATATATATATATATATATATATATATATATATATATATGGGTGGGTGCCTCATGCGCAGGGTGGTGTGAAGCGATGGAGTGGTAGTCTAGTTAGTGTTAAGAGCTTGTGCATGCCTTCTCGCTTGCAGCTGCCACCGCTGGCTAGCCTCGTGCGAAAAAGGGAGCAGCTCTGCATAAGCCTCCCCTGCCAGTGCATAGCCTCTCCATCATCGAGACTCCCTGCAGTGCCTCCTCGTGGCCGCCCATGGAAACTGGTACCTTGCGGTTCCAGGCTAAACTGAGGGGGATCTCGGAGCAGCAGGAGGCCCAGAGGTCCAGGGCCATGGCCCACCGGCGTGTGGACACGCCCTGGCCTGTACCAACTCCTGCCCCTAGCCCCTGGGTTAATGGGAGGCTCGGGGAGGTGGGCCTTGCCAGTCCTCCTCCCCCCAGATATAAACCAATCGGCAGTGCAAACTATAAATGGAGAGGCTGGGAGGAGGGGGAAAGCCCCTCCCACCAGCTAGTGAGGCGGACTGTGGGCCCTGCTGGGAGGGCGACTGCTGGAGCGCAGGCTGGGAACGGGAACTACCCGTCTCGCCTGCGCTCTGGTGGCCGCCAGCCCAGAGTGAAGCTTGTGGGGGAAAGCCCTCGGGAACCCCACAGGTGGATGATGGGGCACGCAGCCGCCACCCCTTTTATATGGGGCAGCGTCGGTGGGGGTGGCAGAGGTGGCATCCACCCGGAGCGACTGCCAGAGGCTGAACCTCAGGCGGGAAGTTAGGGTGGGGGCTTGGAACGTCCGTTCTTTGCGTCAGGATGATCGGTTGCCTCTACTGTCGAGGGAACTGGGGAGGCTGAGAGAGTTGAGGTGGCTGCTCGGTGAGGAGGCCTGGCAGTGGCATGACCTGTGTAGGTGGCTACACCTACTACTGGTCGGGCCGCAGCGATGGCCACCATCTCCAGGGAGTAGCCATTGCCGTCTCCAGCAGACTCCAGCCCTCGGTAGTGGAGGTTACTCCTGTTGATGAGCGTATAATGGTATTGAGATTGAAGCTTTCTTTTGGCTTCATGTCTCTTATTGCTGTGTACGCTCCTACCGATGTTTGTAAACTTGACGTGAAAGAGATGTTCTACGCCAAACTTACATCTGTGGCAGACAGATGTCCTCGACGAGATATTCGCATTGTTCTGGGCGACTTCAATGCGGTATCTGGCTGTGATCGAGCTGGCTATGAGATGTCTGTCGGTCCCCATGGTTCAGGAGCTGATGCCGGTAGCGAGAATAGCCTCCTTTTCCGGGACTTTGCAAGATCCCAGAAATTGAGGATTTCTGGCTCCTGGTACCAGCGCCCAGACCCACATCGCTGGACATGGTACAGTGATGCGGGTAACGCAGCCAAGGAGATCGACCACATACTTGTTAGCACTCGTTGGAGATCCTTGAATTGCAGGGTGTTCAGGAGTGCTGAGTTCTGTGGTACTGACCATAGATTGGTTGTGGCTACCCTCCGGGTCCACTTCAAAACCCCAGCGGTCAAATGATCACCCTAGGGTGTTTCATTTGGACAGGCTGAGGGAGGGGGAGTGTGCCCGCAGGTTGCTGAGGCAATTCTCTGATCGTTTCGCAGTGCTTGGCAGTCTGACAGACCCTGTTCTTCTGTGGGATACCTTTAAGCGTGAAACGCTTGATACAGCTCAAGATACGATTGGTGTACGCCCGAGAGCAGTACAGAATTCCATCTCGCAGGAGACACTGGAAGCCACTGATGCATGTCGTGCGGCTCGTCTGACAGGGGATCGGGAATTGCACCGTTCTCATGTGCGCAGAACTCGGTCCCTGTTAAGAAGGGACAAGGAACAGTTTATTAGGAGTCTTGCAGAGGAGGTAGAAGGCCATTTCTTAGTAAATGACCTTCGTCCTGCATACCAAGCCTGAGAAAGCTGAACTCCAAGCCCTCTTCACAGGTGACAGCAGTTCGCTCAGTAAGTGGTCAGATCGTTTCAGATCCTGTTGCGGTGCGGGGACGTTGGGCTGAGTATTTTGAGCAGCTGTACCAGGTTGACCCACCAACAGTTTAACTTGGATGCGGGTAGTGTCGAGATCCCGCTGCCGAATCCACCTATCAGTGAGGACCCTCCCTCCCTAACTGAAGTTAGGGGGGCGATTTCCAAGCTGAAGAGTGGTAAAGCAGCTGGTATCTGCGGCATACCAGCTGAACTGTTAAAGGCTGGTGGTGAACCTATGGCACGGGGGTTACATGCTGTCCTGGCTGCCATCTGGCAGTCCGGTTCCATTCCTCCTGACCTGTTGAGGGGTGTGGTCATCCCTCTCTGGAAGGGGAAGGGGACCGTTGGGACTGCAGCAATCACCGAGGCATCACACTGCTCAGTGTACCCGGCAAGGTTCTTGCCCACATCCTTCTGAGACGTATCAGAGACCATCTACTGAGGCACCAGAGACTGGAGCAATCCGGGATTCACTCCTGGTAAGTCCACAATAGACCGTATCCTCGCGCTTCGAGTCATTGTAGAGCGCCGTCGTGAGTTCGGGCGTGGGCTGCTTGCAGCCTACATCGATCTCAAGAAGGCGTTCGATACGGTGCATCGGGAGTCACTTTGGGAGAATCCTGAGGCTGAGAGGAATACCAACAAGGATTATTGGACTAATAGCAAGCCTGTATACTTGGTACTGAAAGTGCTGTAAAGTGTGGTGGGGGCTGTCGAGCTTCTTTCCTGTAGTTCAGGAGTGAGGCAAGGCTGTGTCCTTGCACCAACTCTTTTCAACACTTGCATGGACTGGATACTGGGCAGAGCTACTGTTCAAAGTCATTGTGGGGCAACGCTGGGCAATATCAAGGTTACAGACCTTGACTTTGCTGATGACGTTGCCATTCTATCTGAGTCTTTGGAAACCTAGTGGCGGCTCTCGATGCATTTAGCAATGAAGAAGCCCCTGGGTCTAGAGGTCTCCTGGAAAGACAAGGTCCAGGAATTTTGGGGACTTGTTAGGAGAACCTGTTCAGTCGGTACGTGCTTGCGGCGAGGACATTGAAGTCACAGAGAGCTTTACATACCTTGGTAGTGTAGTTCATAACTCTGGGCTGTCAGACCATGAAGTCAGCAGACGGATTGGCCTGGCAGCAGGGGTCATGAACTCTCTCAACAAGAGTATTTGGAGATGTCGGTACCTGTGCAGAAGGACCAAGCTACGGGTTTTCAAGGCCCTGATAATGCCAGTTTTGCTTTATACGGTAGCGAAACCTGGACATTGTCCTGTGCCTTGGAGGCTCGTCTTGAGCCTTTTGTAATAGGTCCTTGCGCCAGATCATGGGGTACTGTTGGCGGGACCATGTGTCCAACCAACGGTTGACCGTGAGACTGGCACAAGCCTGTTATCTGCACAATCCGTGATCGCCAACTCAGGCTATATGGCCCCTGGCTCGCTTTCCTCAGGATGATCCTGCCCATCAGGTCGTCTCTATTCGAGAACACCCTGGATGGAGGAGGCCTGTGGGACGACCGAGGAAGTCATGGCTTGGGCAGATCGACCAAACCTGCCGTGAAGAACTAGAGATGGGCCGAGTCCCTGCCTGGCGTCTAGCCATGAGGGATCCTCGTAGGTGGAAGCGAAGGGTGGATGCGGCTATGCGCCCCCATCGGCGTCAGCCTGATGATGATGATGATATATAATATGATTATATATATACATATATATATATATATTATATATATAATATATATATATATATATATATATGTATAATATATATATATATATATATATATATATATATATATATATATATATATATATATATATATATATTGTATATATATATATATATATATATATATATATATATATATATATATATATATATATATATATATATATATATATATATATTATATATATTATATTATATATATATATATATATATATATATATATATATATATATATATATATATATATATATATATATATATATATAATATATATATATATACACACACAAGTATGTGTAATATAAAAAGAATCCTTTTTGTTATAGGGTAATAAAAGGACTATTTCATTCAGCCAAAATTTTACTTTCGATCATACGGAATCCTTTTTGAATAGGTTAACATTTCAGCTCGTTCTATATGGCAAAATGACACTGATTTCATAAGACCAAGAAACTGCATTCGAAATTACCAATTTTGATCACTTACTTCTTAATAGCACTAAGGACAATACAAATTTAGTAAATTCACAAATCATAGAAATCAAAAACAGACATTTTCATCAATGACGCTGTTTTTTTATTATTAATATTATTATAATTAACATTTGGAAATTTCGAACTGATTAACTCTTTTGTTTAGTTGATAAAAATCTAATTAGGTATTTTTTCCTCTTCTAAGATGTTGATTTCCATTGCAACAAAGAATAATTTTCCAATAAGCAGATGTCCTTCATAAGCACTTTCTAAACACTGAATGGAGAGTCAATGTCAGTGGAGTACCTTTTTTTTTTTTTTTTGGGGGGGGGGGGGGCAGATTTTGATACGATTCTTCCCTCGACTTCCGCATCAAACCGTATGTTCCAAAGGGTTCACAGACACCTCGTGGTCCATAGCCATCGGGCTCGTAGTGGAAACATTGTCCTCATGGACCGTAGAGTGGTCCATAGGTAGTGGCATCGTCCTCATGGACCGTAGAGTGGTCCATAGCCATCGGGCGCGTAGTGGGCCCATCGTCCTCATGGACCGTAGAGTGGTCTATAGCCATCGGGCGCGTAGTGGGCCCATCGTCCTCATGAACCGTAGAGTGGTCCATAGAGTCCTCATGGTCCGTAGAGGCAGCACAACTAGTTCTATCTATGGTAAGTGGCTGTTAAGAGAGTAAGAGAATAGTAAACAAAACAGTTTCAAATTGTATATGAAGAGTCTGTTTCACTGTTACAGTGTGAAAAATAAATATGTTCGCATTCAGAATGAAAAGTAATGTTTAGCAACAGGAACAGGCTTAAATACATACCATGGACAATATATATACCAATAATTAGCCACGTTATCTAAAGTTTTACAACGTTATGCAAACAAGATACCTACACACAAACGTATGTCTTCATCAACGAATAAGGGAAAAACACACGCACACATATTCAATAGAAAATAATAATAAAAAAGGAAAAAAATACACAAACTAAACATTCCAAAATCTAAATACAAAACGACCCCCACCTCCAAGAGAGTGAGAGACGACGTACCTTAACCAGTTTATCCTCAGAGTTTTGGTAGTAGTCGTAGATGGAGACGGTGCCCGGTTTCACGTCTTCGACCAGGATCTCCCGAGACACAGCCACCGTCAGACAGACCTCCGCTGACGTCAGAGAATCGAGGTACAGCTCCACGACGCCGGGCTCGTCTTGCTGCAAGAGGCAAATGTAAGACAAAACCAATTACGTATAGACAGTGGAAACATCTTGATGCAAATTGGATTTACAAAACGGATGAATCTGTTTTGATAAGATATGTAGTATGTATTCTATCTATAATGAGAGGTATATACGGATATATCCGTTATGAAATTAGATATAAAAAGTGGATATGCAATATCTATAATTAGATTTATGAAATGGATTATTTTTCATTTTCATGGGGTGGATATCTGTAAACAAGTAGATAAATAAATTGTATGTATCTATTTCTTATTAGATATGAAGAGTGGGTATTTGTTTATAGGTAAATAAATAAAATACATTTATCTCAATTACATGAATGTGATGGATATATTTATGTGAAATTAGATACATCAAGTGGGAGTATTTAATTACCATCAGATATGTATAGTGTTGATGCATTTATTTACAAGTCGATATATTAAATAATAATTGGGTCTATTAAGTGGATATATCTAATGATGATTAGCTATACCAAATGGATATATTCATTAATGATTAAATTGAATGATGAAATGTAAAAATTCATAAAATTGACAAATCCAGCCTTTAACCTTCCCCCGTAATAACGCACCTCGTATTTCTTAGCGACCTTCCCGTCCACTAGGCGTTGCAGAGAAGCCTCCTCTGCAACGTAGCCAGACTCGAGGTCAAGCTCGACGATGACCATGTTGGACTCTTCATCTTCGAGGAGGTAAAAGGCGCAGATGGTGACGTTGGCCGCAGTGCATGAGCCGCTGGTGGAGGTGACGGTCATGCTGAAGGTGGCGCTGGCTGCGATCTCCGGCATGTAGAACTGGTGGACGACCTGCGGGAGAAGAGGCTGTGCACTGCGCTCGAGATTCCTTCTTAGAGTAGGTGCTTTTATCATTTATTTTCTTCCTTTCTTTTCATTTTTATAATTATTATCTTCACTGCCATGGCTGGTGTTATCATCATGTGATTATTAATATTGTTTTTTGTGTTACAATCATTATCCTCAATATCATTAATATAATTACTCATCATTACTAATCTACTGCGTAGCTGTGGTTCTGGCATTGATCCTATTCATTCTCTTCGCCTTGGATTTGAATTGCGATTGTTGAGAGAGGGAGAAAAATGTATCGCATATTGATAGCCGTCACTGACCATGAACACGGCGCATCCTGTGCCAGAGGGGGTCACTGTGACATCGTAAGGCAGAGGGTCTTCGATGTCCCGCGTCTGCACCACCAGCTGGTTGACTGCCTCGATGAGGATGTTGAAGCTGGTGATGGCTGTCACTGCCAGCTCCAGGTTCGTGTCAGACGGTGGGAAGAGAATGCTATACTCAGCGAAGGCTTCGAGGGCTAAGACAGTGTCCTGGAATTGGAGGATAGGAATGTTAGACAACTAAATTTGGAAATAAGGAATGATGATCACCATCATAGCCATAGCCTCATTTACGGACATTACGAAACTGATGAAATCATTCATCAGAATGGCACGATTTGTGCAACGAAAGGTCTTGGGTCGCATACCTGAGTCGAGTGGAAACCCCCGAGGCTGTTGCGGTGGGATGACATTCTCCTGATGAGGTCGACCGCCTGGGAGACGTAGTGTAAGTGATCGACCTTCAACATGGCCAGGACGGTGTACGCCGCGCTCTCGACCCAGATGCTCTCTCCCTCGTCATCGCCGGCGGTCAGGAGGTCGTACGCTGCAGCGATGTGGGCGGGGGCGTCTGCGCTCGAAGCCAAGGCGAGGGCGTAGGCCTTCAGGGACTCTGAGTAGACGTCGGTGGCAGCTGTGTCGCTCGCGATGCAGCTGACGGCGGCGGGGAGGGCGCCCGCGCCGAAATGGCCAGCCTCACTCAGGGCGATGGCCACGTAGGCTGAGAGGGGCACTGCTGAGGCCGAGGCGCTGCCCAGGCCGCCCTGAAGGAGGAACCTTTCTTTACTCCACATGCACCGAAGGGTAGAATCCTTCGGAAAACCTTGCATGGCTTAGGACCCCATCACTCACCAAACTTGGAAATTGCATATGAGGTAGAGTAGTAATAATCTCTCAATCAATATGAAAGCAGTTCCCTTCCCCATCCAGGGCCCCCCTCCCGACCCAGGGCTCCCCTCCCCATCCAGGGCCCCTCCCGACCCAGGGCTCCCCTCCCATCCAGGGCCCCCCTCCGACCCAGGGCTCCCCTCCCATCCAGGGCCCCCCTCCCGACCCAGGCTCCCCTCCCCATCCAGGGCCCCCCTCCCGACCCAGGGCTCCCTCCCCATCTCCCCTCCCAGGGCCCCCTCCCGACCCAGGGCTCCCTTCCATCCAGGGCCCCCTCCAAGGGCCCCTCCCGACCCAGGGCTCCCTTCCCCGTCCAGGGCCCCTCCCGACCCAAGGCTCCCTTCCATCCAGGGCCCCTTCCGACCCAGGGCTCCCCTCCCCATCCAGGGCCCCCTCCCGACCCAGGGCCCCTCCCTCCAGGGCCCCCCTCCCGACCCAGGGCTCCCCCCCATCCAGGGCCCCCCTCCCGACCCAGGGCTCCCTCCCATCCCCCCTCCCGACCCAGGCTCCCCTCCCCATCCAAGGCCCCTCCGACCCAGGGCTCCCTTCCCCATCCAGGGCCCCCCTCCCGACCCAGGGCTCCCTTCCCCATCCAGGGCCCCCTCCCGGCTCCCTTCCCCATCCAGGGCCCCGTCCTCAGGAGCCTAGACTCACCTTCATCGCCTGATGATGAACATGCCCGACGGACTGGAAGCAGCCGTCGTCCATCTGGAGACTCAGCAGCCAGTCGGCGGTGACTTGCAAATCGTTTTCGTCGATCTGCGTAAGGTTAATGTTTAGGTGATGAGTCATCGATGAGGAAATTCATGTCTATATGGAAATAGGTAGATGAGAAAACCATTATAAAAAGGAATACATTAGGTTGATATGTATATCTATACTATATAACATGTGATACGGTTTTAACAAGACCATACAAAGGAATATCCAAATAAGAATATCATGATTAAAGAACTAACGAATATTATGAATTAAACTTCCTTTTACAGAACTGTATCGGTTCTTTCTCCTTTTTTACCGTAATGTACTGTGATGCTTCGGCGAAGGACCTCAGAACGAACGCCGTGAGCCAAGTCGACCCTTCCGAATCACTGTCTCCGAATGCGCTGTAGGATCCGTCAGACCGGCGGTAAGTCAACTCCCGCTGATAGCCTGAGTCACGGAAACGAACAAACAATAAGTTGCGAGTAAAAAGATGCATAAAAATGGGTTTGTGGGAATATGATTACTTTTAAGGCCCGTGAGTAAGGATATGAAGAAAAAAATCAATAAATATTGAAATAAATAAAAGGTTAGTAGGTAAGGATGTTGACAAAAGATATGAATGGTTAATTTATGAATAAAAAATAATAGTCAATAAACAGGTCAGTAAGTAAAATTAGGAAATACAGAAAAAATCAAGAATAAGCATTAAAAAATAATTAAGAAAATAAGAAAATAAAATCAAATATCAGCAAAATATTAACAAAATAAGGAATATATGAAAGCGTTTGGAAATTTATGAGCATTAATTATTATATGGCCAAACATATATACGTATACATATATAATATATATATATATATATATAATATATATATATATATATATATATATATATATA